GGAGCCTGTCCTGGAACTAGCTCTTGTATACCAGGCTGGTCTCGAACTCACAGAGATCCGCCTGCCTCTGCCTCCCGAGTGCTGGGATTAAAGGCATGCGCCACCACTGCCTGGCATCTCCTTGTCTCTTTGGTGTTTGTTTTGCCTCATGGAAATGCCTTCTTGTGTCCATGGGTGGTCAAAAATTGTTTGTTTTTGGTTTTGATTTTAAAGCAGCCTGGACATTCTGTTCCTTCAGTGTAGTTATGTTTCCCAAGTGCTGGGGTTATTCACATCCTTGTGACTTACTGATCAAGTGGACTGAAAGAACCAAGTGAGCACTGATTTGAATTTTGCTTCTGTGAGAGGAGCTATTGTCTTTGCTAGGCAGTTCTGTGGCAGAGAATAGACAATTTCTTGGGTCTCTTCAGTCTCGAGTCCTTTAATCCAGGCCTCCCAAGTTGCTTCCGAATGATCTGTGGTCTTTCTAAATGGAGTCATGACTACTGTCTGTGTTCCAAAGCATGGGTACTCCTCTTTGCCTGTTCAGGTTCTATGGAACACGAGGATGCACACATGGCTTTGGCCAGTCCTTCAGCTGCACCCGATCTCAACAGTTTACGTGAGAGAGAACAGTCATGATATTGAAAGATATCTTTTAGAATCCGATATTTGGGTGTTGCATGGAAGATGGGCAACGGGGCTTGCTGGAGCTCCCAGCTATGCCCTTTGGTAAGCTGGGTGGGCTCTTGTGTTCGCTCCCCTTATTCCAGGTTCTGGTCTCCTGCAGGTCTATCATGCAGAAGAATTGATCACAGTGAGGCCTCGCCTTACCTGCCTCTCTCCTCTGACTCTATCCTCACAGTGGCTACACAACTAGATAATGGTTTGCTTGTTAAGGGGAGGTCTGCTGTGACTTTTTTTTTTTTCGAGACAGGGTTTCTCTATAGCTTTGGAGCCTGTCCTGGAACTAGCTCTGTAGACCAGGCTGGTCTCGAACTCACAGAGATCCGCCTGCCTCTGCCTCCCGAGTGCTGGGATTAAAGGCGTGCGCCGCCATCGCCCGACTGTGACTCTTGTTAAATATGGAAGACTTCATTTAAGGGGCGACTCCGCTAGGATCTTGAAAAGTAGAGATCTGGTTTAAGCCCAAACACAAAGACAAGTATTTATAGGCAGGATCTGCATTGAGGTGGAGGGGGGTGGTGGTGTCACTGACTTGAAAAATTATTAAATTAGCCGGGCGGTGGTGGCGCATGCCTTTAATCCCAGCACTCGGGAGGCAGAGGCAGGCGGATCTCTGTGAGTTCAAGACCAGCCTGGTCTACAAGAGCTAGTTCCAGGACAGGCTCCAAAACCACAGAGAAACCCGGTCTCGAAAAATACCAAAAAAAAAAAAAAAGAAAAAAAAAAAGAAAAGAAAGAAAGAAAGAAAAAGAAAAATTACTAAATTACTAAGAGGAAGTTCTGGGGGCGCGTGATGGTTCTGGCTAAACCGACTTGACAAGATTCTTAGGGAAGGCAGGCCAGTGTGAGAGGATGAGGGTGGAGATACTCACTAAACCAAACCTGCAGGATTCCAGATAAAACTTGATTCTAGGAGAACAAAGGCAGCTTAAGGTGGAGGCTAGCTGGGGCTTAGCGGAGGCTAACAAGAATTAGGGCCAGCAGAGTCTTAGGCATCGGAATTTGTTTACTTGGTTCATTTTGAGATTGATTTGTTTACGTGTATGTTTGCTTTGCCTGCGTGCAGGCTTGTATACCACTTGTGCCCTTGTGGGCCAGAAGAGGGTGTCAGGTCTCTGGAACTGGAATGAAGGGTGGATGGATGTAGCCTTGTGGGTGGTGGGAACTGAACCTGGGTCCCCTGCAACAGCAATTAGTTCTTTCAACCGCCAAGCCCTCTCTCCAGCCCCTACTCTGTTTAACTTTTACTAAGGAGACCCACACTGCAGACCCTTCTGTAGCCTGGGTTGCTCCGTCATGCTTGGTCTGGCCTTCATTTGTGGGATGCTTTGAAGGAGTTATTTTTGTCAGCGGGAATTGAACCCAGAGCCCCATATTCATGCTACGCACCAGCTATTCCACAGAGCTACGTCTCCAGCTCCACGGAATTATGTTTTAGATTTTCATGTTATCCTGGCTCATAGCTTCTGGGAAGGGCACGAAGCTGTGGAAAAAAATAAAGGGCCCTTTTTCAGCTGAAGGTCATTTCCAAAACAAATAGGTTTCTTGACTACTCAGTTATATATTTGCGGACATTCTGCTCAGGGTGGCGGAGGAGGGCAGCTACCATGGTCTGCCTTTTCTAGAATTTTGGGGAAATGGATATACTAAACTTATTCAGCTTCTGTGATATACAATCCCTAAAGACTATGGAGCGAGTTACTTTGTTGCTGTTTACTCTGAATGACTTGAACAAGATGGGCATTTTGGAAACTTGGGTGTGTGCTCCTCTTTTCTCAAGCTGTGGCTGCACAAACACCCTTTCTCACTCTGGGCCCCCCCTGGAGCTGGTTCTGTTCTTTGCTCCTTCAAGACATAGCTTCCCTAGGAGCTTAGTCAAACTGGGAAAGACAAATGAAAACTAGTATGTTTATTTATATAGTTTATTGACCATTGTTGTGTGTGTTCACTTGTCTTAAGTTTCTGGAAAGACAAACATATTATCATAAATATGACATGGTCTCTGACCTTTGGAATTTTATGGCTCAAATATAGGATGCATGTGTGTAAATAAATGTGTTGCACGTGCTGTGCTAAGTGTAGGATGACCTTACACCCTGAGACAGGCTTGGCTTATGCCTGTCGTCCTGGTGTCCTCCTGAGAACGCTCCTTTTCACTTTTACAAGTAAGGCCACAGCCATGATCTCAGGTACACAAGGGTAGGGAGCACAGAGGTACTTTCCCACGGGGTGCCACTGACCTGACTGAGGAGAGGTTTGGCTAGCCAAGGTCGGGGATCTTGGGGGGAACTTGGGATTCAGGCGGGAGAAGAGGTGTAGTTCAGGAACGCAGAAAGCTCTGCAGGCGAAGAGAAACCGGTTGTTCTGGGAGCAAGAGCAGTGGTTGGCCTGAGTTAGATGTCGTTTGCCAAGTTTACCGTCTTGACAGTTCCTCAAGGACAGTATAACACATACAACTGTCTAGACACCACTGAACCCCTCCTCCTTGCTTCAGGATAGGGATGGAATTCAGGATCTTGTGTGGGCCAGGTCTTGTGCGCTCCCTCTGAGCTAGCTAGATCACCAGAGTGAATTTCTGTTTTTACAATCTCCTACGTGTTCTTGGGCATATAAAAGTTAGATCTAGGTCCCTGCTGATGGTGCCTAGGGAAGCAGGATCTTTTAAAATGTATTTTTATTTTATGTGCATTAATTACTGTTTTGCCTGCCTGTATGTCTGTATGTCAGGTCTTAAGAGTTAAGAATTGTTAGTAGCCATGAGGGTGCTGGGGCTTGAACCCAGGTCCTCTAGAAGAGCAGTCAGAGCTCTTAACCTCTGAGCCATCTCTTCAGCCTGGAAACTGAGGTTCTAAGAGGTTAGGGAGTGCAGGAACTATGCACATCACACCAAGGATGGAGAGAAGGGAAGAAGATTCTAGCACTATTGAGGAAGAATGATCAAAACCAAGTGCTGACTCACATGGGGATTATATTCAGGCCACAGGATACGTGTATCAAACTGAGAAATCTAAGGGATTTCTAACCTGGAGATTTATTTGGTGATCATAAACCCAAGACACCAACCGCTGGATAGTGTTGGCATAGTTCTTGTAGACCTGAAATAAAATGACTTCTGCCCCTATTTTTTTTTTTTTAAGTCTTACACCACTCTTTCTTGACAGTCCTGTTTATCTCTGGCAAGAAGCAGTAACAGATTCCAAAGCATCCTCCTGCCTTTTCATTACGGTGGGATACCTGCCAAGCCTTATCTTACATGTTTGCTTTGTTATGGACTATGTAAGACCTTTCTGATTCATCAGCAGTATACTTGGTGCCAACTCCGTTCAGGAGATCATCGGTGACCTACAAGTTTTAGGGTGACCTTGTCCTGAATTTTGGAGGCGCACTCTCTGTGGGAATTGTAGCCACATCACAGATTCCCCGAGACTCAGAAATGACTGCAGCACAAGAAACACATTATTGACGCATCAAGAGACTCAAGCTTTGGCGTTAGAGGCAACGGGTGAATCTTTCAAAGATGAAGGAAAAAAACTCTTCTCTTCGCCTACAAAGATAAAAAGATTTTATCCTGAAGGCTGCGGTCACCAGGCCTGCTGGCTTCGTACCGGAGCGGGAAATGACATCAGTAACCAAAGACCTAGATTATATGAAGAAACCCTTAAAGTTCTGAAAAGGATGGACAACGGGAAACCGCTCAGGCTGTCTTGTCAGGGGGTAATTTTATGTCCTCTGTCCCAGGCTTGGCCACTCCAGAGCCTCGTGAGTGTGGTTTGGTGCTGGCAAGGCATCTTCAATTCTTATGTTGGCTGGGGGAGCCTCCCAAATCCTGGGAGTAACGGGGATGGAGATGAGTAGTGTCAGGGAGCGGGCACAACAGAGGTTCCGAGTTTTTTTTTTTCTTTTTGTTTTTAAATGAAGGGCTTAACTTCTGTGCGGTCCAGCGTCAGCCACGCCATTAAGTCGTAGCGGCAGGAAGAACAGATAAAAGGGGGAAGAGGAAAGGCGCAGCAGCGCGCACACGCTCGGAAACGGACGTCGGCGGCGCGCGGCGCGGCGAGCTGCAGGCGCCGGTCCCCGCGGGGGGGAAGAGGGCGAGCGGGCGCGAGCGGCCGGGCCGTCGGGCAGCCCCTGCCGGAGCAAGGCCGGGCGCGACCAGCGCGGCGGGGGGAGCGCGCTCCAAAGCCTTCCCAGCCGTCGCCCCCGCGCGCCGCGCCAGTAGTTCGGTCCGAGGGGGCGGCTCCAGGGGCGCGGCTCCGCGGTGGCCCAGGCTGCTCTAGGCGGGAGCCGACCCCAGAGCCAAGCCGCGCAGGGAGGGAGGGAGAGAGGGAGGGGACTGGAGGGCGAGCGGGGGCGCGCGGGGGCGAGCGTGTGGCGCGGCGGCTCCGAGGAGCGGGGGCGAGCGGCGCTGCGGGCCGTGGGAGGAAGCGCTGCGCCCGGCCCGACGGCGCTCGCTCGTTGAGCCACATCCGCGGGTCGCCGGCGCCTGTCACAGCCCCTCCATTTTGAAGGAAGGAGGCCGCCGTTCCCACCGCCGGGGCGGCAGCCGCGCTCATGGCGTTCAGTCCCTGGCAGATCCTGTCGCCCGTGCAGTGGGCCAAGTGGACGTGGTCCGCGGTCCGTGGCGCGGGCGCGGGCGAGGAAGAAGCCGGAGGTCCCGAGGGTGACCCCGAGGAGGAGGAGGACTCGCAAGCCGAGACCAAATCTCTGAGTTTCAGGCAAGTACACCGCATCCCAGCCGGGATGCAGGCGCGCGCCATCCTCCCACCGCGGTCATGCTGTGTGCGCGCAACCGTGTTGCCGGCTCTGGCTGCGTCTTGCCCGCAGCCGGGACCCCGCTGTGCACCCGAAAGTTCGGGACGTTCTGTCTGCCCGTGTGCTTTTCGTCCCCTGTCTTCGCTGTGAGCTTTCTGAACCCGGCCCCTAATCGGCGGTCTCCCCATCCTGGTTTGCCTGGCTCGTTTTCTCCTAAGCGTCGACACCCCGGCTCCGACACAGCCACACCGGGTAGTGTCAGTTGATGAGGCCAGGTGGGATGTGTAGCTTTTATCCTGTGGGCAGGAAATCGTCCTCCCCCTCCCCCGCATCCATCTCGGTCCCGCAGTGTCCGAAAATGCTGCCGTGGTAAGAGAGGATCGCGTGATGACAGGCCCCTGGCAGCTGGTGAGAAATGGTGGTCTCTGCTGAGCTGTCACACGTGTGATTGTGGAAGGCAGGTGATGGCATTTTCAGCTGCGAGTGACTTTGAGACAGGTAGAGGCCTACCAAGGAACAAGGAAGGCATGGTTAAGAATTGGCTTAGTTTGGGCGCGGGGAGGAGGCGATATTCACTTTTAAGCCTCTGGAAAGGGGGTCAAGTACGATGAGTTGATTTGAAGCTCCCCTCCTCCCCGTTTCGGGTGTGAAAGGCAAAGATGACCTCAAAAATAAGTGGTCCTGGTGAGGCGTTCCAGAGGACAGAAGAGATTTTGGGGAGCTAGGATGTTGGGCATCGCTGAAAAACTGCCGCAGCCTCTTCCTCAGCCGGGTTGAGGATTGATTGGTTGGTTGTAAAGTTAGACGGAGGTGCTGGACTTGCACCGTTGTAAGTGCAGTTTAAAGGCAGTTGGAAATACCGTTGACCGTGGTAATGCCTCGTTTTTCCCCCCTGGCAGCTCGGATTCTGAAGGTAATTTTGAGACTCCTGAAGCGGAAACCCCAATCAGATCGCCTTCTTGTGGCTCACCTCTAGGATTGGCAGAACCTGAGGCCAAACCCCAAGGTAAAAGCAACTTTAATTTTCTACTTCTTTGGTTTTAACTTTTAAAAGGGGGGGCATAAAAAGGGGTGCCTGTGCATCTCGAGGACCACTTGAGAGAAGTTAGGTTGTCTCCTTGCTCCAGAAGAGGCTGATTTGGAAGGCTTGTCCTTTTGTTTTGTAAAATAAACGTTTTGATGATTTGGTGATCCCAAGCTTCCTTCGTTCTCTGAAGAGAGATTATGCTTTTTTTTTTTTTTTTTTTTTTTTTTTTTGGTTTTTCGAGACAGGGTTTCTCTGTGGCTTTGGAGCCTGTCCTGGAATTAGCTCTGTAGACCAGGCTGGTCTCGAACTCACAGAGATCTGCCTGCCTCTGCCTCCCGAGTGCTGGGATTAAAGGCGTGCGCCACCATCGCCCGGCGAGATTATGCTTTTATAGACATTCCCAGCCATTCCTGCTCTCAACCAGGAATAAGTAAAAATCCGGTGAGTGATGGGTTGGGTTATGTTTAGATCTGGCTTCCCAGATTCCACAGTCTAGTTGTTTCTACAAGGGTGTGGCTAGACACAAAATTATAGGTAAGAGTTGATTTTTGAGTCAGGAATCTTAAGCAGTTTCAAAATTGCTTGCCTTTCCTTCCCACCAAGGGCTGGTTGGGAGCCCTTCAGTGTAAACAACACATACCCTCCCCTGTCCCCCTAAAGCCCCATCTCATACACGCCCTTTAATTCTAGATGCCTCTGGCCCACTAAATTAATTGCAAAAAAAAAATTTTTTTTTTTGAGACAGGATCTTAGATAGATAGCCCAGGCTAGCCTTGAAACTCACTACGCCGAATATAACCTTGAACTGATTCTGGAATGATAGGCCCGCGTCGCCATGCTTGGTTTATTGTTACATAGTTTTGAATAAAATTTCATTTGCTCTAATCGGAATTAATTTGTTCCTTCAGTCAATAGAGGCCCTGTGATACAGAAGTTGAATCCCTGATTTCACTGAGCAACATTTTGGAGGGAGGAGAACCTTTTAAGCCATAAAAGCAAAATCTGTTGAGTTATGTTAAGTTCTGTGGAGAACGGCGGGGGTGGGGGTGGGGGCTGACCTATGGGTCTGGTTTAGGGGAACCTGATAGAGATGGTACCGTGAACAGACTCCTAAGGGGAGAGTTGAGGAAACAAAGAGTTGTGTGTGTTTTGGGGAGAAGAACCTTTTCTGCAAAGGGAACGGTGTTTGCAGAGAAGCAGCCCCTAAGCATGGAGCCCTAGGGCCTAGAAAATCATGCATCCTGGAGGAGCAGGCCCAGAAGCCAGTGCTGCCCACGTGGAATGACTGGGATGCTAAGTAATAAGAGCTGAAGTCAGCAAGGCGAGAGGCAAGCCAGGCAATTATAATGATAGGTTTTCAGAGTGAGGTAGGAAGCGGCTGTAGGGTTTCTGAACAAAATAACCATAAACTGAGGAGCTCAAAACCAGTTTACTCTCATAGTTGCCGAGAGCTGATCAGAATCGGAAGTCTGAAAGCCGAGTGTTGGCAGAGTCCCGCTCCTGACGACTCAAGGAAAACTTTGTCTGTCCTAACTTCTGCCGCTAGTCAGTAGCCCTTGGGGTTTGGCTTGAGGCAATGTAATTCTTTGCTTTATCACACGGTGGGTTTTCCCTGAAAGTCTGTGTCTTCCTGTGGCCATGCTATGAGGACTCAGGTCATTCAATTTATTACTCTCTCCAGACTAGTATGACCTCATTTTAACTTCATTGCACCTCTAAAGATACTATTTCCAAATAAGGGCACATTTCTGGTAAATTATGTCTTTTAACATATCTTCTTGGGGACAGTTTAATTCATTGTTGCAAGGCTTTAACTCCTTGAGACAGGGCTATGTCTAGCTATGTGTAGCTATGACTAGCCTGGAACTTGCTGTGTAGACCAAGTTGGCTTTGAGCTTGTTATGCCCAAATCCGTGGGTCCCCACAAAACCAACAAAGGAGACCGAGTCCCATATGTAAAAGCAAAGAGCCTATTTTAATCAAGTTTGCAAACTCGGTCTCTCTGCACGTCCAACATATTGGAATAAACGGAGAGCCCTAAGCTCAATTGGAATTGGGTTTTTCTAGTAGTAAAGGTAGGGGTGAGGGGGTTTCTGAGGTTCAGGACCTCTGATTGGCTGACATCTGTCTAGGGGTGTCCTGTTGAGGTGCCCTGGCAGGTGATCCCATCTACAGCATTTGGAATGCCAGGCATTTCTTTTGAATGTTCTGCTCTTGGGTGGGGGTCTCAGCCTGTGGTTCCTCTTGCAGCCTGGCTTTGTCTCAGGGTAAATTACTGAGACTCCAGACTCCCTTTTAATTTGTCGATGGCCAAAGTCCCAGATGATAATGGTGGGAAGTAAAGAACTTCCTTTGGGTGACCTGCCCAGACTTAGCTTATCATGGCTGGCCCCCCATAAACTTAAGGGAGATTCATTTACCTCTGCATTCCAGGTACTGGGATTAAAGGTGTCAGCCACCACTTCAGGCATAGTTTTTAATTTAAAAAAATTATTTTTTTCGCATTTATTATTTGGTGGTGGTAGGAGCATGTGCCACTGCCCGTATGTAGAGTTTGGAGGGCAGCTATCAGGACTTGGTTCTGTCCTTCCACCATGCTGGTTGTAGGGACTGAATTCAGGTCTTCAAGTATAGCAGTAAATACTTCTATTCCCTGAGCCATCTTGCTGGCCCAGGTCTTTTGTTGTATATGAGATAAATAATAGTCTCCCTGTGTAGCCTAGGCTGGCCTTGAACTCATGAACTCTCAAGAGCTGGGTCTGACTTCCTTTTGACAAGGTTGTTTGCTTTATAGAGGAAGGGCTCTGGGGTGGATGTCCTTTGCACGTGGCTTCTCATCCCACTGCCTTTAACACCATCACCATATAGTGCCAGATGGAGGGGTTTTCAGTTACCCGGTCTTGGAATGGGTTCTGACTCCCTTAGGTCCATCCACAGTTGATGTAGCTTAGTGCGTACTTCGTCACAAGTTGCCTGGGGAAGTCGAGTCTCTGGACTTGGTAGAGGGGTTAGATTTATTGCTATATCATCACTCTTTTTTTGCAGTTTGATTTTTTACTAGAAATTGTCATCTGCATGCTAGGTGTAGAGTGCTGAGACTCAAAACAGCATCTTCGGCCTGCTCTGTGCTGTTACCAGGTCAGGACTCCTGGTTGGCATGGACTAGCGCGTGGCAGAGGGCGTGTGGCAGAGCTACACAGTTCCTGTGATAAAGATACTGCCTGCCCCCATAGCTTCCTTGCAGATCGGGAGGGAGGTCTAGAAGCTAGAAAGAACTATTTCTTCGACCTTATCAAATTTAAATAAAGCTCATAGGACAGACGTTAAGTAGCTGTTTGAAAGCCTCTTTGAATTGTCCTCGGCTCGGGCAGCCTTTCCTCCGCGTTCTACCAGTCTGCTCTTCTGCTTCCTCTGCCAGATTCTCCGGTAAATGAATAGAGGCTGGGATTGGCTCTGCTCCCCGCCCCCAGCCACAGCCACTCAATTGTTTGGTCCTTCCCGTTCCAGTGACTCTCACACTCTTTCCTTCTCTATAAATGTTTTCTTCTTAGAGAGCCTGACATCAGCAGAGCTCGCCAGGGTAGTTCATGCTGCAGAGTGTGATTCTGAGGGAGGGAGGTGGCGTATAGGGTGGGAACCAACCCTACATATTGGGGACCCCCCCAGTGTAAGGTCTTTAGAGAGTGGGTGACTCCTAAGACTGGTTGGTTAGTGTCTGGCCTTTTAAGGACCTCCTGGAGTTAACTCAGCCTGTGGATCACCTTGTCAGGCATACAAAGTAGTCGGGAGAACACAGCAGAAGCACAGGTCTTGCTAAAGATGGTTTCACTGAGCAAAAGCTCTTTTCTCTTTTTTAATGATTTATTTATTTTTATGTGTGTATGCCTATGTGAGGGTGTTGGGTCCCCTGGGACTAGAGTAACAGACAGTTGTAACCTGCCATGTGGGTGCTGGGAATTGAACTCGGGTCCTCTGGAAGAGCAGCCTCCTGCTCCATCACCTGCCTCCTCGTTCTTTACATTTGGAGGGAAGTACAGTTTTGCTTTTTATTGGAACTGTTTTCTTTTTTTTTTTGGTTTTTCGAGACAGGGTTTCTCTGTGGTTTTGGAGCCTGTCCTGGAACTAGCTCTTGTAGACCAGGCTGGTCTCGAACTCACAGAGATCCGCCTGCCTCTGCCTCCCGAGTGCTGGGATTAAAGGCGTGCGCCACCACCGCCCGGCTTATTGGAACTGTTTTAAGAATGTATGTAATTTTTTTTAATGAGTCCTCTTAAGGTGGTTTTATGCTAACAAATAGTAGGTCAGGTTGTGATTTTTTTTTTTTTTTAGGCACAGAAAAAAGTTGGCTTCTGAATATGTAATAAACTAACTGAAAGTTTTCTTGGAAATACCAAATTGGCAACTGTAAAATTCCCACCGGTAGTTCTGCATTTGCAGCCCGCTTTTCCCAGCGAAAGATGCTTAAGCTGGGTTTGCTTGTTTTGTTTTGAATGAAATTGTTGGTTTATTTCTGAGACAGGGTTTCTCTGTGTGGCCCTGGCTGTCCTGGAACTCACTCTGTCTGTAGACCAGTCTGGCCTTGAACTCACAGAGGTTCATTTGCCTCTGCAACCCCTCTCCCCCCAGAGCTAGGATTAAAGGCGTGCAGAACTTTGGTATTTAGATCGGAAACGCCAAGCCATGCTCCAGGCTAAATTTGGTCACCTACCTCTTTTTTTTTTTTTTTTTTGGACTCTCCAGGGACAGAAAGGATTTAAAATTTTTAAGTAATTGAGCCACTTTTAATCTCAGCACTGGGGAGGCAGAGGCAGGCAGGTCTCTCAGTTCAAGGCTACAAGCTAGCCAGGTTTCCATAGTGAGTTCCAGGACAGTCAAAAACCAAAAAAAAAGTCCCCTCAAAAGTTAAATGGTTGAAAAAAAATTGTGGTGATGCTGTTTGGAAATATAACCATACTTAGGTTTTCTATGTGACTGGTTTT